ACCATGATGATCGTCGTGTGAGACTAAATGTACTGAAGCGTGACTGGAAGCACTGTGACCTCCATGATCATGTCCATGATGACCGTATGGTGAGGCACTCACCACCACCAGTGCGATACAACATACGAGTGGAGCGAAAGTCTACGAAAAAACAGATAATTTGATAATTTCTATACTCATATAAATATAAATAAGATGAGTATATCAGTCGAACTCACCTTAGAGCCCATTGTTTCAATTGAAATTWRCAGCTGTGATGGATCTGTGTGAACTGTGATTRGTTTGCTGTTAAGCTACGCTTTTATACCAAATGTGAGTGCCACATATTTCCTTTTACACTATCTTTCGTTAAATTCTGTAGTATTTTCGAATTGCCTTGCGAATGCAGCGCAGATCGCTGACCTTGTTATTATTTGGTAATTATCAAAAAGGTAACGGCTTTATATCTAATGTGTTTAATTGACGCACTAAAAATTGCCGAAAATTTTCTATACCTTCTCAGTTTTGACTATTCTTATATTATTTTAAGAATTTTAATTCTAATTCTAACTAATGTAATTTTTTAGAGTGGAACTTAGCACCAGGGTTGCCATACGCCGAGTTTCGGTTAAGTCGACCAGTATCAATAGGTCACTAAAGTTAAGGAGGCTGACCTTCCATACTGAGGAGCCAAGCAGTCGTTCATCAATTGACCGAAAACCTAAACACTTATTTTGAAATCGTAATCCTTGAAGGGAAATTCTTGGTTGTTGGATGTTCTAATTAAAGTGGATTTGGTATGAGACGGGTTCTAAACCGAATTGAAAAATTCAGTCCATAATGAATCCATTCTAACCAAATAAAACTTCGTTAGACATTATAAATTCAAATATCGAATTGTCGATTTAAAAAATTTTTTTTAAACCAATTGTTACAATTCTGAAAAAACTTTCAAAAAAACGCTCTTTCTGCGTCGATGCAGCGTGATTTCCAAGCAATGAAGGCGTCAGGAAAACCATTCTCCGGAATAGACATGAGAGCCGAGGTGCATGCTGCTGGGGATCCAAGCCTCTCATCTCAAAATGCTTGCCTTTCAGTGGCTTTTTYAGGCAAGGAATCATAAAAGTCCGTGGGGTCACATCTGGGCTGTAGGGCGGCAGCGGAAGAGTTGGGATGCCGGCCTTGGTTAGGTASCAAAGAAAGCGGTGTGAAGCGGGGCGTTGTCGTGGTGCAACTTCCAATCGGCTGCGATGTCTTGTTGGACCTATTGACCTTTCGGTTGAGTCTCTTGTGGACTTCCACATCAAACTTCTTATCCAGGAGGAACAAACTCATGGTGGACGATGCCTTTAATGTCAAAAAAAGACAATGAGTATCGTTTTGACTTTGGATTTGATGATTCTTCTCTTTTTTCGGGGAGGAGGCGCGGACGTGTGCAACCACTCGGAAGATTGTTTCTTTGTCTCGGGATCATACCCAAAGCTCCATGACTCGTCACGTGTGATTACGTAATTTAAAAATTGAGGGTTATTTTCCAGGTGCTTGGTGACAATTGGCCAGCCACTCGTTCGTTAGCTGGGAACGCCCTCTACCGAATATAACAATACCSAACGATTACCCTCCTCCCTTTTAAATGTTACTTGTTAAGAGTAGATAAAATATTTTTTTTAATGGTAARGAGAGAATCTGTTAGATCAAATGTGCTGGAATGAGAATTGAAATCGTGACATATACGGCGGAATGGTTTGTTTAACTCGAAATTTGTTCTAGAAAATTTTAAAAGTAAAGGTCTAAGCTGCCTGGTAGAGTGAGCGGGAATGTTAAAATTAATATCAGACAAGAGAGATGGGCTACAGACTGACCCATTGATGAGTTTTACATGAAATATTATACCAAGCATTTCCCTACGACTAGCGAGTGTAGGGAGATTTATAAGCTTTAAACCTGTCTCTTATACACATCTAGATGTGTATAAGAGACAGCTCTAATACAGGCCTCACCAAAGATGTAAAAAGAATTTTCGTGGTAAGCGGATTTCTAAATTCTTTATATGGTCGGTGTTCCTTCGGAGTACAGTCGCTGCGGAACAAATTTTGTCCTAGTACTTTTCGGACAAACTCTGTAGCTATATGATGGCTAAACAATATGTTGTTCAAGTTGGTTTGTTTGTTCATAACACCAGTTTACTGCTATTTGGTATACAGTTTATATAACTGAGACCTTATTAAAAGTTACCGATCATCAATTTAGCATACATTCTCAAAAGAGACTCCAAATGTTTTAAATTGTTTAGTTTTATTTTTATTACCATCTTCTGTTTCTTTTTTCTCTTATTAATCTTTAAATATAGTCCCCCATAATGCTTTCAGTTTACTGGGAAATTCGGGAAAATAGCACAATCCATATATTTTTCTTTTGAAGGCCTACAAATAATCTAGATGTTACTTTCGCCTCTAAAAGCTTTAAATAAAACCTTTGAAAGCTTCGAACTCATGATTAAAACTTCGCCTTACTTATATACGATTTATACACTTCTTGAGAATGCAATGATGTCAAGAAAATTTAGAGCAATTTAATTTTATTACCTCCTATTGAGATTATACTATCTGTTATATTCAACAAAAATCAACCGGTAAGACGAAAACGCTATATAGATAAAACCGATTTCTTTAATTTTAGGCATTAAAGAGAACTTCAGAAAATATTTTTTTTTATTTTCTGTGAAAACTCCTACACTCTGTTCAATGTATTCAGCGTAAACTCAATGACATATTGAAATCATAATTTATGAAATAAGTCGGGCTTGGTCAATAGGTATTTACATATAGTACCAAACTGATCAGAGTGACAAGACTAGCTCAATGTCTCTCTGTTTCTGCAAACAAAAACCTTTGTAAAAATTAAGATAAGTTAAACAAAGAATTGGTACAAAATGCGAAAATTTATTAAACAAAGCATTAAGCCACAAATTAACTCAGTTTTTATATAGCGAATTACAGTTRTGAAGAACAACATCTGAAGTTAAAGTAAAAAAAGTGTAGCTTCGCTTTTATAGGYTTTAAATTATACATCACAAAGCAATCAAGACAATTAGACCCAACATGATTACAGTAAATCTTTCTTTGCTCCTTCCTATGATATGACCATTGTGTGTTACCGCCGAGTTGGTCGCAAAAATTCAATAAGACTCAGTACAAAAATTGTACTGCCCACTCCTAGGAAAAATTTAGTATCTCATGAACAATATCAACTTAATTYGGTGCATTATACTCAAGCTGCTTATGTTACTTTACGRAAATGGCATACAATYCTYATTATTCCCATATAACAYATTTTTAAATCCCATCTTCACTGTACAATATGTAAAWCTAGTTCAAAGATAAGATAAAGACATATGAACAATACTTTACACAAATAGTGCCATCTAGATATGGCAATTCTATAATTTACGGACTACAAAGTTTAATTATGAAGTCAGGATATAAAAGTATTATATATTCCGTACATTTGTATCAGTGTATATTACAAATTTGAAGAAGAAGAAAAAACTGAAACTGTTTTCAGTTCAACCCTTGCTTTCGATCTGCATCWGGAATACACAATCCATTCTTTCTTAACACATATTTATTATTCAAATTGAAATTCAATCGATAATGAATATATTCTATGCAAATCAGACTYCGTTAGATTTCACAAAGCCGTATATCCAATAACGAAAGCTACTTGTTGGCCATCACGGGCATGTTTGCAGAAGTCCAAACGCGGAACCTAATTTCCGACGGATTTCGAACATAAATCGGCCGATGTTGCTGCAATTTCACGTTCGATATTCTTACGAAGTTCATCAATCGTCGTCGGCTTCTTGGCAGAGACCATAGACTTGACGTAGCCCACAAGAAATAGTTTAACGGCGTCAAAACGTACGACCGTGGCGGCCAACTCCTGGGTGTGATCAGTTCTTTCGCGTTGAAMTTCTGGACGTGGGATAACACGTTCCAAACTTGGTTTTCAATAAATCGATGTGTCATTCACTGTGTAGCTTGTGGCGTCCTCTACATATGTATAGTCGAAGTCCATATCATTCAATGCGGGCCAAAAATATTCGGTTATCAGTAAGCGGTAGCGATTCCCATTCATAGTAATGTGCCGGTCTTGATCATCACAGAAGTAGCCCAATGACGGTGCCGGCCCATAAACCACACCAAACCTTAAATCAATGTATACTCATGAAGTACCTACGAATGTATTTTTCACAGGAATAAATAATTTCGTTGATATCGCAAACTGTTTTTATTTTTATTACGTTTAAATCACTTATTGAAAAAGTTGAGGCCACTGATTTCGAATTTCAGTAGTAAATTGAGATCGTATATTTTTCCATGATGAAATGGCAAACCTCACTAAAGAGAAATGTCGAAAGAGCGGGAGAAAATAAGTCGTAGTTTGCTGTCCCTATGGATCTCTTGTAGCGTAACTATTGCAAACCCCACTAATATCTGTTATATTCAACAAAAATGAAAAGTTTAAGACAAAAGACGACAATTTCTTCTACTTTAGGCAATAAGGTAAACTACAGAAAATATTTTACTAAAATTTCATGAATATTTCATATATTTAATAAATATTGCATAAATTTACAAAACACAATATTAAACCACAAATTAAACCAATTTTAGTACAGATAATTACAGTTGATGAGCAGCACCTGGAATTTAAATAAGAAAGTCCCGCTTATAGATTTTAAATCCTCTTCTTTTAAAGCGATTATAGCCAATGGAATGTCTGCTCCATCGTCATCAATTGGGGAATTGGGTTCGCCTTCTCCTGTCGTTATGTGTTTACTGCCATTCATYATGCTGGATAAGTGGCTCCTCCATATTTTTAGTATGCTTTGRGCATCGGTTACTAGATTACCTCTGGAGATTTTACAAGAGTATGMACCGGTCTTGAAACCTTATGTTACTCGTCGCATTTTTCGAAGAACTCTCGAGCATTGCCCTTTTCGGCCAGCCTGCCAAGCTTTTCATACTCACGCATTTCGGCCTCTCTCTTTTTCAGACTGCAAATGCATRTCGCTCGCAATGAATCTCGCGATTACAGCTTCTCGTGGTCGAACCTTCCTTGTGTTTTTTGGCGTGCGTTTCTTGCTGATCAGAGGCGGGGCGGTACCTTGGCTGCAACTAGATAGTGGTTCGAGTTGATTTTAGAATCGCGGAGCGGATGCACGTCTAAAATGTGACTTCGTCTATCACAATATGATCGATCTGGTTAGTG